CCGCCGAAGAGGGGCCAGCGCGGACGTTTTGCTTGCGGTTCGTTTCGTTTCTTAAAGCAGATTCCCCCCAAATTTCTCCGAGGTCACAGCCTACTGATTCTGCGACCGCCAAGCCCCCCTTTCGCCCCCCCTTCCGAGGAGGCTTCGCGCATGCTGGGCTTGGAAGCTTTCCTCCTCCGACGAGTCCCACGCCTGAGACAGCGCTCGCCTCCGGACTCCGCTCCTGGGGGAAGGGCGCCCCGGCTCCCCAGCGGTTCAATTAAGTGGATTATTGTCCTCCAGCAGAGAGGAAGAAACCAGCTCGCGTGGAGTCCCTTCAAAACCGTTCCGCAAGGAAATTTACTATGAGACCATTAACAGAAATAATAAAAATGCAAAGAAGGCGGGTGTAGATAAACCCGAGCTTCGATACAGGCACAATCCCTTTAAAGCCCGAGATAGAGGCGCAGGGTTGGGGGTGCAAAAGCGGGGTCCCTTTCACCCATTTCTTGTGCCAGACCTGAAGAGCAGCCCACCGGGCCGAACCCAAAGTGCAATCAACTATAAACCGGTTTCAATTCGTTTTGAGCGACACAGCAACTCGAGGGCCGCCAAAATACAGGACCGAGCTTTCCTCCGGGTTCGAACCGCTTTCTGTTCTCAGTGCGTGGGAACTTGTCGGGGTCTATTCTACAAGGAAGGGGGGGAATTGTGGGGCTGGGAAGGAAAAGAGGGAGGGAGAGAGACGGAGAGAGAGAGAACGTACATAATTTTCTCAGCCACTTAACATGCTCCTGTGACTTCCACGAACTGCACACAGTCAGCCTCTGGGCCTCAGTTGCCCGCTAGTCCTCAAGATATTCTGAACAGAGGTGATCTCAGTGCATAAAATCAAATCACCACTGAAATATTTTCCACTAAAATCATAAAAAATATCACACATACCAAAAATGTTTGACAGTTAGGAGGAAGAAAACAAGAACCACGAAAATTATTCCACAGCCGTGTGTGGGTGGGGGGGTGTCTTTTTTCTCCCTCCCTCTCTTTTAAATTAAACTTGAAAAACTTTACAATAAATCAAAGTGGTTTAAAAAGTGTTTTTTTCGGGGACAGTGATTTTTTTAAAAATAATGATGATGAAGGGACTCTCCTTGGAGCAGAGTCGTCTATTTCTGTCTCTGGCTCCTTTGGAAAGTGATGCACCACGGGGATTGACTGGGAGTTTTTCTGGCTTGGGTGCATGAGTTCAAATCCTTAGACCCATCTCTGGCCCTGCGCTAACCTACCTAGCAGGGTTGTTGTGAGAAGATTGGCATCAGCTCCTCAGAGGTGGGATGTGAACCACATGAGAATAAACGCGCGTGGGCGGGCTCTTTACTCTTAAAAAACTGCCTTGGGCTTGGAATTGAAAGAGTGTGTTTGGGATAAGCCAGAGCCCAAAACTGAGCCTGGATTCTTTCTAACTCATCATGCCTCAAACCAAAAACATTTTTCTCCTCTGAAAATAACATTCATTTCCTAGGATGAAAAACTTTTGTATTCAACCCAGTTGGGGAAAGTCTCCGCACCCCAACAAATGTGGCAGAAAAGAAATAAGAGGAAATAGTAATATTTTACCATCTTTGGAGAATGGGAAAAGTGGGTGTTGGAAATGGCCCCGACTACTCCAATGCATGCCTACTTTGAAGTAAGTGCTGCCAATTCAATGGGCCTTCCTCAAGGAAACCCAGATCATAGGATCAAGGGAAAGGGGCCTGGAGGCCATCGGGTCCAACCCCCGACTCAGGGCAGGACTCAAGTCTCCCACCCAGGTTCTCACCAAGGCTGGCCCCGCTTCGCTTTCCAGATGGGGCAGGATCAGGCCCTTCAGCCTATAACGACGCATCCTGAATTTCAAGCATCTTTTGAAATAGGATGACTTTCTAGCCAGGTATCCAGAGCAGGGCGTGATCCGGGCAGGAATTTCGCGAGGCCGTTTGACTTCCAAGAAGGCATTTCCCGTTCTGAGCAGGTGCTTCACCGGGGATCATTTACCCGAAGGAAAGCCCGGCACCTTCAGTAAGGTTTACTCTCCAAGAAAGTGCCCTTTAAACAGTTCGGCTTTCTCCTGGGCTGGTTGAAGCGGACTGGTTTTTGGTCCTCCTCCCCCTCCAATTAAAGAAAGAAATTTTAAGAAATGGAGCACTGAGGTGCCGATTTCCCCCCGCATGTATTTCTTCTTGCCATGTGGCGGTGATCTTTTGGATTATCAAAGGGATCTGTCCCTCCGTGTGCATCCAGCATTCCTAAATTCAGGTGGATGGATGTGCTCATTCCTCAGCTCAGGAAGGCTCAGCAGGCCGCGGCCAGGACGCCAGGAGCCGATCTGCATTGCAAAGAACAAGCAAGTCCTCGCTTAATCCGAATTTAGACTTGAATGCGAGACCTAAAGCCCCTAATTTTAGAACCCTTCTGTAGAATTAAGTCCCCCTTCTCCCCCTGCCCCCCACGGTCCTGATCCGTTTTGTACAGCCCAAATCTGGGCGCGTTTACACGGAAGTCCCCTCCCGGCACTTGGCAGATGGCCTTCCTCTTCCGGGCGGCACTGATACACTTACTTGCGAGTAAGCATTTCCTCTGAAGGGCGCGTGGCTTGTTTTGCCGTGCTTGACCTCCTGGCAGGACGTCTATTGTCATGTCTCCTAGTGACAGATTATTCCGGGGTTCAGGCAGAAAGAGGAAACACGCAGAAAACTGAGCGAGAGAAAGAAACAGATTTGAATCCTAAATACGCGGGAATCTTCCCCCTTCCTCTTTTGAGCGACCAAAACCTGATGAAGAGATCTGTCGATCCCGGAAGCTGGCGGGCCGGTCCCAAGAAAACTCTTGCCTGACCGTGGCTTTTGGCTCCCCCGCCCGCTTCCTTACGAACCAGACTCGCCTCGTTTCGGTCAACATTATGCCGAAGAAATCCCAGGGTTTCTGATGCGCATGGTCGCGATCCTCGTCCACCTGTTTACTCAGAAGGCGCAGCCTTATCCTACAGAAGCGTCCGAGTGAGAGGGCGGATCCAGCAGTCTTAGGAAAGCTAGTCGAGTACGTTCCTACTCAGGAGTAAGTCCCAGTGAATTCAACGGGGCGCACTGCCAAGGCAAGGGGACAGAATTGCAGCCGAAGCCCCGCGAATTCAGTGGGACGCGGCCTCAGGTATTCATGGGACCTCCGCCGCCTTCTGAAAGGAATTTCTAACCCTTCACTCGAAATATTTTCAGTTGCCTTTCTGACATCTGAGCACTCCAGCCCACCCCAAGATAGTAAATAAATATTTATAACTTCTGCCATAAAGGTTGCCTGATCAGGACCAAACCAAAGTTCAGCACTTAAAAGTCCCCATAAGTTTGGAACTTCTAAAAGGCAAAGCAGATATTTATTAAAGGAAATAAAATAGCTTCCGTGCATTATGCTGTTCCAATAAAGCGAATCTACCTTAAATGGCTGAACTCTGGATTGTTCAATTTGTTGGATATGATGTGCGTCGTCACATCACAATTAGTGTACGACAATTACGATTTAGTATCTTTTGCCGTTTTAAGACGAACACGAAACCCTGGCAGCAAATGGCATCATCCCATCCTCGTACTCTAGGCCCTAAATGCTAGACAGAATTTAAGCTACTAGTCCTCATGAAAACCTCATTAACTCCGCTCAAGTCCCGAGACGCCTGTAATGGAACAGTGCATAAAAGCTTTAAAGAAAGAAAGAAAGAAAATCAAGTGACCTTAACTGGGCTTACAGGATTGAACTAAGAAAGCTCCCACGGACCCGTGGAATTCGAGGAGCTGCACAGGGACTCTGGCCACCCCCGCTGAGGAGCTGGGTGACCTAGGCAGCAGGAGAACTGCACCGCGCCCGTCGCAAGGCTCTGGCCCCCCGGGGCGCCCAGGGCAGTTCTCCTGCGGCTCCGGAGGGTGACCGCGGCCCTTTCCCTCGCTCTCTTCCAGTGAAGGAAGAAGGGGACCGAGAGATCTCCAGCTCCAGGGACAGCCCCCCGGTGCGGCTAAAGAAGCCCCGCAAGGCGCGCACGGCCTTCACGGACCACCAGCTGGCGCAGCTGGAGCGCAGCTTCGAGCGGCAGAAGTACCTGAGCGTGCAGGACCGGATGGAGCTGGCCGCCTCCCTCAACCTCACCGACACGCAGGTGAAGACGTGGTACCAGAACCGCAGGTAAGCGGCGGTGCTGCCGCCCGCCCGCCCCCAGGCTCGGGAGCGTCGCCCCCGGAGCCGGTGGTCAGTCCGGGGGCTCGTCCCCCCCCCCCCCGAGCCGCGAAAAGCGGGAGTGAGCGGGAGGGAGCTGCCCCAGGATGGTCGGCCAGGATCCCCCCCACAACGCTGCATCATTTGCCACGAAACGCCCCGCACCTCACCAACGCTACGTGGGTGGCAGGTGAGATCGGTCGTCTTTCTGAAGGGGTTGCAAATAAAAGGATCCAGAGGCAGTTGATTATGTTCGGTGGTCGGGAAGGATCATGAATGAACGTGCGAATAACAGACGTACTGAGGAAGCGCATCTATTGTGAGGGCCAGGGCGGTGCGGTGCTTAGCGCCTGGGCTGCAACTGCGTGACCTGGGCCCAGTTCCTAACTCTCAGCCTAACCAGCCTCGCAGGGTCGTTGTTATGAGGATAAAATGGGGTAAACGAGGATTGCATGAGCTTGCTCGCTATCCTTGTGGAGGAAAGTGGATGGGATTAAAAGAGGCTGAACTCAAAGGCTCAAAGATGCAGACCAGATAGAAGGGAGCACATTGGACCCTCTTCAGTCGAACTGGCTGAATTTACGAAGCAGTATGGCAAAAAGCAAAGGGTGGATTGTGTGCCAGTCTTCAAGGAAATGTTATTTTTAACAAGACCAACTGCAGCATAGGTCAGGGAAAAAGCAAACGTTTTCTGGTCATAAGAACATTCCTAAAATCTGTGTGAGGAATTTATTAGACTGCCCAAATATTAAATCCACCCCCAACACAAAAATGTGCAAGCTTTTTGAGACCTTCAGAGGAAGCGATCTGGAGTTCCCAGAAGCCAGCGAATTTGGTGTGGGGGCTGGTAGATCCTTGAAGTTCAGCTTCAAGGGCAACCTGAGAGCATGTGAGATTTGCATTCCCCAGAACTCTTCAATAATGCAAGAGTGGCAAGAGGCAAGCTTTCGGGTTATACAGGACTCTTCATCAGTCATCATGTGAAGGTGTTTGAATGCTTAAAAGGCACTCTTTTGTATGATGGTCAGCCGCACAGAATCCATATCTCAGGGGCCTGCACAGAGCAAAGATACTGAAATCTTTTCCAAGTTTCTGATAAGAAGCCCCATCCTCAAGGAGAAGGGAAAAATCTTCCTAACAAGCAAGGTTAAGGGGGACATGGCAGTTATCTTGCTATGGAAATGCCAAAGGGACCTTTTGCTCAACCCTGGCTGTACCCATAATCTGAAATTAGTGGAGCCCCTGAAAGGACCTGAATCCTGCATACACACATTCGGTGCATCCCCGTGTCAGCTTTCATGACGCTTCTTCAGCAATGCAGGGGGGTAAAGGACGAGGAAGCCTCTTCAGCTTCTCTCCTGCAAGGACTGGGGCTCCGATATCAGTGGGACGCTGCCTCCTCGCTGGGTTCAGCCTGAACTTTCAAAGAGCTGCCCTCGGTGCTGACCTGACCCCTCCGACTGGGGTTCAGACTGAAACCTGGAGTGGATGCATGGCCTTACAGCCGCCGGCTCGGCTGTTTTAACCCTTTAGGAACCCCAGAGGTTTCTCTCTTTCTCTGTAGGATGGGATTGCCTGTCTTTTGCCCACGGGTGCTTCACCTCGCCCCCCACCCCGTGAATCTTTCTGCCTGAGAGCTTTTCCTGAAATTAGACGCCTTCTTTTCCCTGTCCCTTTGGTCATATAGACAGAGAAGAAGGTGACTTTTATATCAGCGAGACTCTTTATCCATTCCGGCCTTTATTTTTGGCTCCTGACCCCTGCCAGGAGTCCATAGGAGGCAGGGTCTTTTAAAGACACTCCCATAAAGGGAGACTTTGGGGCATATGCAAATCAGCGCATGCAAATTTGTGCTCCCCCCCCCCCATCATGCTGTGGGCCTGGCCTCACCAAGGCACATGCTCCGACTGGCCACTCGATTTCTAGCTTTGGAAACACAACACCCCCACTCTGTGCCAGCCAGACTTGTCCACATCTTAATACACTGGGAAGGAGAAAAGGGTTTTCTCTTGGACACACGTTTGGACTTACCAGCATTTATTCATTTTTATTTATCCTTATATTGATATACTGCCCCATTTCCATATAGAAATTCCTGCCCTACAGGAAATGATTAGGCTCTGGGTGCCTCCAGACACGGGATGCCAGCAAAAAAAGGGGTTGCAGTCAGTCTGAGCTCTCCGTTGGGTACCTCTGACCCCCCAAACCCCCACATCTATCCCGTCGCACTCCACACTGTTAGGGGTACATGCGCCTAAAGCCAGCATAATGTGTGAATCTTCTCCTGCCTCACAACTTCACAACTTCATGCTGCAATAGTAGGTTGCACTGAGTAAAGGCCAGGATGGCGCTCAGCCACGCATCCTGAAGGCCCTCTTCGTTTTCGTTTTCGTTTCCTCCCGTGCTTGCGCGCTGAGGTCTCTCGGTCGGGGCCTGGACGCACGTCATTCTGTCCAGACAAGAAAGCAGATGCTCACTATTTATGCGGGGTATTCAACTTGTTGGGGGAGAACATTATTCAGATTCACCAGACAGATTCAAAAGATTACTGTCCTCAGATTTTGGTAACCCAAGTCACATTTTTATCAGCCCTTGCCCAGACTCAATGAGAAATAAAACAAATTAACGACATTCATTAGAACAGTGCAAATTATCACCTTTATGTAATGCGCCAGCTTTCGCAACCTCCAGTTGCATTAAACTGCAGCTCGCATCACCTTGCAGCCAGCTAGCTAGGGGATGGTGGGAGGTGTAGTCCAACACATTTAGGGGAACTAGCTTGAGGAAGGCTGGTCCGCACTGCCTTTCTGTCCCAGCTGTTGGGAGATGATGTAGGACAAGGGAAAAGCCCCAGTTTCGCATACATGCGAACTCGCACAATTATGCTCACCAAACAAAGCCTTTCCCCGTTCTTTCCCAGGTTTACACACCCCGCTCACACTGGTTCGTATCCGTTCTTGTCTGCCACGGCCTTTTTATTTCCTTCGCTTTCAACTATTGCTTTCATTAAGGTTTTGTTTTCATCTTGGCCTGATAAGTGTGAACTGCCAGATTGTAATTTCTTCTGGCTGGAAAAGAAAGTTGAAACTCCAATAAGAAAATGCAGAGCGACTGTGCAGCGGCAATCTTGTGCCTGAGCATCCAAGGAGTGCCAACTTTATTTTCTTTCCTCTTATACGGGTGCCTTTAAGGATGCCTGCCATGCCAGGCAAAGCTGTTCCCACGCGCCGGCCAAAATGAGCCGGACTCCTGAAACGGGCAGTCGTGCGGAAGAGGGTCCTTCAGGAGGAGCTTTGCGGGCGCACATCTGGACCAGCACAGGAGTGTTTTTAAGTTAGAGGGTGTAACTCAGTTACATCAAAGGCAGAGGCCAGAAAGGACAAGGTGCTCTGCTCACTCTCAAGCACCCATCATCCCCGCCCTGCTAGCTGGCGCTAATGGGAATGGTAGTCCAAAACCTCTGCAAGGGCCCAAATCCTAAAACGGCAGCTGTAGAAAGCTTCGATCCTACAAATGAATGCAGAAGGTGCTTCCTTCCGAGTAGACATGGCTAGGCGACTCACACTCCCATACTGCTTTGCTGCACCTGCCCGTACAACCGTGAGCCCCACTGAATTCCGTGGGACTTTGCCCCAGGTAAAACACAGGATAATCCCCGAATTCTCCCATTGGAAGAGAGCGTTTCTGGCTGATTGAGAGCGCCTCTTCTAGCGAAGGAGTTTTCATTCCTGCTCACCACCCCATGGCCTTCCCCGATTCGATGGTTTTTATACCGCCCCAGCAAAGCCTTCCTGAAAACTCAGAGGAGACTAAGATCTAAATTCCTTGTAGAATTAGCATTGCCGAACCTCTTCCTAATGCAGCTGCTTGTCTTCAAGATTAGGATTAGGACTGACCAGTTTTAGGATTAAAGTTAGGCTCAGCCTGGCTCCTATGATGATGATGATGATGACCGCGGTGGTGGTGGTGGTGGTGTCGTCTTTTGGCTTAACCGGAGGCATGGCTGCCCTTTTTTAATCAATCGGTCAATTGATTGTTAATTTCATATTGTCATTAGAATAACATCCGAATCGCTGTGCTCAGGAATTCGTTAGGTCGAAAGGCAAGATGCTGCTGTTCGAACCATTGAAATCCGTGCATGAAATATTTCAGCAGCAGCATTACAGGGGCTGGATCCAGGCTCGGCTGTGCTCGGGGGAGACCCGCGGGGTTCGGTGGGGCGAGGGAGTCATGACTGAGTCCCGTGGATTGTGCTGGTCTTCTCTAAACGTGGCTCTTTGCATTCGACCCCCGCCTAGGCTTCCCCCAATGCGACCCTAAGACAGTTTTATTATCAAATGACTTGTTTATCCGGCCTTTTTCCTTCTCATGAAGAACCCAAGGAGACTTCTTTTCCGCTCCATTTTATCATCACAACAACCCGGGAAGGTAGGCTTGGCTGAGCGGCAGGGGCTGCCCCCAAGTCCCGCTGGCAGCTTCCTGGCTGAGAGGGGACTCGAGCCCAGATCTCCCAAGTCCGCCGTGGAGCGCTCCAACCTTACACCACACGGCCTTCCGTGGACTGAAATCAGCTCCATCCAGCACTGGGAGAGGAAGTTCAGTCACAAAACACGGCAGCCCGTGCGGATAAACGGTGGCCGGGCAGAAAATCCCCGAAGCCGCTGAAAAGCGGCCTGGAGCGCCCTGGCCCTTGCCAAGACAACCCGGGGCTGAGCCTGCGCTCGGGCGCCTTTCCGAGCCGCGCTTCTGCGCTCGGTGCAGCGACGGGCGCCGACGGGGCCACCGCCTCCCCGGGCCTGTCGGACTGCAAGTCCCAGAATGCCCCAGGGGGAGTGTGGTCCCGGCGTCAGGGAGCTCAGCTGGGACACCGTCCCGGCGCGCGTCCTCTTGATCGAGGCCCGTCGTTTTCGACGACTTTCCAGTCGGACCAAGCTGGTGTTTCCCTGACTTCACTCCGTGGGTGGTTTTTA